GTGTGTGTGTGTGTGTGTGTGTGTGTGTGTGTGTGTGTGTGTGTGTGTAGGTAGAGATCATTCTAGAATAGTATCCCCTCTCTGAGGAGGAAAGAAGAGCCAGCCTTGTGGTCCCTTCTCTTGCTCCCTTCCAGGAAGGAATTAAGTTTCCACTTCAGCTGCATTTAGAGAAACCCATATGAACATACACATGAAATGTGGGAAATACCCTCTTCCCCCCCCACATGTGCACAAAGGCACACACATGCACATGCACATATATGTATGTGTTATATAATGTCTGGGGGAAAGTATTAGCAGCTAGGGGAAATGGGAAAGGTCTCATGTAGGCAATGATACTTGAACTGAGCTTTAAAGGAATCTAGGCATTGTAAAAGGTCTCAGAAAGGCCATGAGGAGGACACTAGTGATGGAGTATATGTCTGTTGTTTAAGGATAAGCCTAGTTAAGTGAAAGACTTGTCACCAGCTTGTCTATGAAGGGTAATAAATTTTTTAGCTCCACAGACAGCAACTCTCCAAGGCTCCTGATAAACAGATAGATTGCTGTCTGCTTTTATGGAGGGATTACCCTTGCTTTTAAAAATCACAAATCGTTGAAGCATTCTTCAAAGCTAGATTACGAGATCTTTGAGGCCAAGAATACTAAAAAAATTTAGTGTTCAGGTGGGCATCATCACTATTACTCCCCTGTTATGCATGAGGAACTCCAAAGGGATAATGTTAGCTGTAGATTCCCAATTCACTCAGTAGGGAAGAAAATATTAGGCTCAACATCTCATGACTTTCAGGCTTCCACATTCTATCCACTTTGCCATTCCTGTCTCTAGTGAGGCTAAGCCCTATCTTTGTGTGTCTGGGGGTGATAGGAAAGGCTTGAAAAGGCTTGATTATTTACGATGACTTTGCAGGGTTTTCCACCATCCCTCACTTGACACTGAATTGTGGCTTTCCTACAGTAAAAGCATAAAGCAGCTTTCCAACCTCAAAATAGTTTACTAAATTAGATATGCTTCCCTATCAGCTTTTCATTTAAAAGTCACGAAGACTGCTAAATAAGTGCATTTTTTCTATTTTTGCTCAAAATAACCTTATTAACATGTACACTTCAAATGAATAAAATTAGATCAAGAAAGTTTTTTTTGTTTGTTTCTTTTTTCTTTCTTTTAAAATATGTTTTGTTATATGAGATGGCCCTCTGGGAGAGGGAAGGGGAGAGATACAAGAGGAAATTTAGGTGATGTGAAAACAAAAGATATAAATAAAAATATTTTTTTAAAAATTAGATCGGTAAAAGAAACATCCAATATCTTTAAGATTATGGCCCTCCTTCAGTGACCCTAAAGCTAAAATGACAAAGACAAGCAAAGGTCAGAGCACCTAATTTGGGAAGGATAAAATCTAATAAAGTAACCAGGGTGAGCTAGGGGCATGGGGTATGTATGGGGGGCAGTGGTGGCAGGGAGGAGGTTCAGAGAGGCAAATTTCAAGCCAGTGTAAGGAAACTTCCTAACAATTACAGTTGTTCTACAGTGGAATGAACTGTCTCAAAGAGTAGTCGCTTCTGTGGTATAGGAGTTCTTTAAGCAAAGGCTAGGTGACTTGTGTTTGACAATTGCTGGCTACTACAGATGGGTTGGATTAGAAGGCCTCTGAAGCCCCTTCCAACTGCGATATTCTGTGAAGACTTTGTTCCTGTAAACATGTGTGTGTGTGTGTGTGTGTGTGTGTGTATGTGTGTGTGTGTGTGTGTGTGTGTGTGTGTGTGTGGGTATGCCACATTTATTATTTCATTAGTGTGGTGAACTTCTACCAGGGGAATTCTCTGTACCCATGCAGTTTTGCAACTACTCTTAATGGTCTTGAAAGTTTCCTAAGGCACTGACAACCAGTTTGTCAGTCAGTAAGCCTTTAATAAGCACTTACTATGTACCAAGCTCTATGCTAAGTGCTGAGGATACACATACAAGCAAAAGGGATCTTCCTCCTTCTAATGGGGAAAGACAAGACATAAAGTCTACTCTAGGCCTTTCCTCCAAATACAGGTTCTAAGAGGAATTCCCAAGTGGAAGAAGGGGGCTAGAAGGGTGGAGGGAGAAGGTAAAGTCTGAAAGCCTTCATGAAGTCAATCCACAAGTATTCATTAAGTATGTCAGAGACACAACCTGAACCCAGGTTTTTTTCCTGACCCTGAGCCCAGTTCTCCATTCACTATACTATACCATCCTGTATCTCTTATAAACATGCATATCAAAAATGGGAAATGGATGGTAGTGGGGGTAGGTATTTGAGGAAGGTATATTCAGTGGAAGAAGACAAATATTTCAAGAGTCTATATGAATATATTTTTCATTATTAATTCTTTATGCTTTATTTTTTGCATTCTCAGGGGGTGAGGTAAAAGGGAGGGAGAGAATTTGGAACTCAGAATTTTGAAAAACGAATGGTTAGAATTTTTTACATTTAATTGGGAAATATTTAACAAAATAAATAAAAATATATTGAAAAAAGTAAAATTCTTCATACTAGCAAAAAACCCCCCCAACAAAAACAATAACAAAACCATGGGTAGGGAACAATTCTTCTATTATGTTCTAGTAATATCTGTAGTTGCTTTGAGCCAAAAACACAGTTATTGTTCTGCAGCAACATGCCATCTCTTCAGAGGTCTTATGATGTGATTTTCATCTCAATACCATGATTTCCCTGGGTAAGCTGATTGTTCCACTCATAAGAAGAAAAAGAGCTTTGGTTTTCAAATGGCACATGTGAAACAGATTGTTTAATTCACAGGTTGTTTGCAACAAAGAATGCCTTGACTATGAATACTCTGCTGGTGCTAATTTATGATTCAAACTAAGTATTGAACTGATTGACAATAAACCAGCTCTTAGGTTTTAGTGAGTTGCAAATGCACTGTGTTATGCTCTACAAGCAACTTTATTGTTATTGTTGCTTTATACTGGAGTCGATTTATTTGTCACCAAATGGCTGGAATATGGAAAAATAAAATCACGATTTAGATGCACGTAAGTACTGTTTATATTTGCACATACACATGGGAAGCTTCTTAAGTGCCACATTTCCTTGTCTCTTGAATTGTTTATGATCGCTTTAATTGTCAGAGTCCATTACTTTGTGGTTAAGTACCAAAGCCCACAGGAATGATGCTACCAAGTCATTCATAAGGAGGTGCCAACCAGATAAACCAGAGTATAAGCAATGTTAGGAAGGGAGATTCTAGAAACAAAGCCAGGGTGAGCCCAATGATCATTAAGGAAAGATTGTGAAGAATGCTGGTTCTAGATTAGTAAGGCAGTTTAGAGTTTGATCTACAGGAAATGTACTCACTACTTCAGGTCTTAATATGCTTTTTGTCTGCATCTATTCACATACTCTCAGGATGACATCTGCATCTGTTCCACTTACGGAAATATATGTTGTCCATACCTGGATACCACACCTAAGACTAGCCACACTATCTCTCAGGCCCCTGATACACTAAGAGGAGGGTAGGCCCTCCCACTTCCAGATCTTCTCTGCCTCCACTAATTCAGCAGCTTGTCCTCCTCTGCATCTCATACCAACTGGATATCTAACTATCCAGAACCCAGCAGCAGTTATCCAATGTGCCACCCCAATGCCCCGGGTCATTCCCTCTCCTTTCCCAAAGAGTTCAGAATCTGG